GGAGCGCTAGAGACCGATTCGCGGTCGGGGATTCGGCAAGGGAGGAGCGGGAGCTTGGTCTACACACTAGGCTGGGTCGCGCGGGGCTCGGTCCTGGCACGATCGGCAATGGCAGAGGCGGGACACCGGCTGGAGGTAGGGGAAGACTGGGCTGCCGCGCCTTGGCCCAAGAGCGGGCGGGGGGCGCGCGGGCCTGTCTCCTATCTGGGCCTCGGCCTGGCCGAGCGGCCTCGCGGGGATGGAGGTGGGCTGGAGCAGGCCAAAATGAGAGAGGACGAGGTTTTCCATTTTTTCTCCTTTTTCTTTTATTTCAAAGCTTATTTCAAACCATTTTAAAAGCAGTTTAAATCATTTTGAATTTTGGTCAAAACCACATAGTATAGTAAATAACATGCAGCAGCATGTATGCTCAACAATGTTGCTACCCCCTATAATGAATTTTAATTTAATAAAAAATATTATTTTTTCTATGTTTCATGAGCACAAAAATTCATAATTAAATCAGTTTAGCTCTATTTCCAAAAAAGCAAAATTTAGGGTGTTACATTGCGCCTCGGTGGCGTTCCTCCGTCAACACGGAACTAATAGGAGGTGGTGGCTAGGGTTCATCAGAAGGGATATATTTAGTTTTTAAAATATTTAAAAATGGCTACTTAAGTATTTCAGTTTTATAGATGATCATATAGACTTATCATGCACACAGAAAAAGACCCTTTTACCCCCACAATGCTTTCACTTAGCACAAACCTATGGTGACCTCGTACACACAACACGTGTCAACAAAGTCTAGCATAAGAGGTGGCCTCCAGCCTGTATCCTTGGGGAGCTATACGATCTCATCTGACCTATGATATGGCGGCATCACGTTGATGCACGTGGTTTGACTAGGTCATTCGGCATGCCGCCACAGATCAGTCTAGCCTAGAAATGGTTGAATCACATTTCAGCAACAAGGCATGGCAGACATCCAGGAGATGTTAGTTGAGGAAACCCATACACCACCATCACACAAATGATGCATCTGCTTCTTCAGCATAATTGGGTCTTTGTGTATAGATGACATTGTAAGAAGTAAAGATTTGTTATGCTATGTGCGGTGTATCATCCACATCATCAGTATGCCTCGAGAAATTACTCTGGATGTATCCCCATGATACTAGGTATGAAAAAGTACTCTGGATGTGTTGACACTTCCTTGCATGTATGCCAATAGATGGTTCTAGCCTTCCAGGGAGCCAGTTGAGCATGCTGCTTTGTTGGCCATTTCTTGGTCTAAAGAGAAGAACTATTTTGATGTTGACCAGCCTGACGTTTTTAAGGTTGTTGTCTTTACAGTGCATGGTGTTTCTCTCACATTGGTTGCTGTAGACAGATTGTACATGGGCTTCTCTAATTCACCCCTTAGTAATGTAAATGTACATTAGTGGTGGGTACACATTGTGTGAATGAATTATCATGCATCATTATTGACAAGTGGATACATAGTTTTTACAATCGCCTGCTTTGTAGAAAGGATACACAGAAGAAACGAAACGGTGCTTGTGCTCCTTATTTTCATTGATCATTGGTGACAGTGCTCTAGACCACCACATTAGATTTTTATTTTGACTGGACAGGAGATCGACAAATCTTTATATTATAGAGGGAAGAAATAGCAGGCCCTTATAAATAATGTCCTTATCGTCTTTAGGAGACAAGGCAAGGTTCCCAGACATCATGTTCTTTACATTTAGATGGCATCAAGGATTTCAACAAGCATTTCCATGGCTCAAAAATGATTGGGCCATAGAAGAATGTCCCATATCTAGATTTGGAATTTAGTGACCGACTTTTTATCATGTCTAGAAACATTGTCAGCCTTTGTGTGGAAGGTGCAGAAATAATTTAGATCAAGTCCCCTTCCTATCCATAGTGCATGCTTCCCTCACCTAGGAAAAAATGATGATCTACGCCTAGCCTGAGGCGTCCACAATCTCCGCACCCTTCTTTCATGGGCTAAATGAGCTTGAATCTGCAGTGGCCCTACTCTAATGTTGTCTTGGTTGGGCAAATTTCCTCGCTGTATGAATTTCACCCATAGCAACACGTGACATATTCGATAATTGATTATGATTGATGATATAATGTATGCTGAGTGCCGTCCTGTTTCGTAGAACATTTTCAACAATTGTCGCTTATGAGAAATAAGTTTGCAATGGAGCAAAAGATAAAACCCCCCACCTATTGTATGACATACTACCTATAAAAGTTGCAAAAACACTACGTGAGAACAACTAAGGGATGTATCAATGCACTGAATGTGATGATTTCAATAGTATTAATTAGATTGGAAATATGGTAAGGGAGTTAAATAAGTAAAGAGACACTATTTCTCATCTTGTTGTGCCTTGTATTCCATGTAGATGACATACCCCTCTTGTTTGGGCTTCTTGTGTTACTTGGTGTACCCATCCTATTTGGGCTGTTTTCAATGCGGTGATGTACGCTTGGTATATATCACTGACACTTCTGATAGCGCCTGTCAAGGTAGGGCCCACATGTCATACTATTTTCCCTTTCTTCCTCCTCACTCTCCGAAACAGAGCCCAAAACACGATGTGGTTATGCCTGGCGGAGCCACCCATCCTATCCACCAGGTCATGCTCGCCCGTCCTATCCATCGTGGCATGCTCGCTCGTCCATGCAGGAGCGGAGCTTCATCACTCATGCCTGATCTGCTTGCCGCCACACCTTTGTGCAAACTTAGGGCATCGACAGGCTCCGCTCGAAGGATCTATAGCTGTACACAGTTTTGGCTAGTGGCTCTCGATAGTGCCACTATCAGACTTCATTGTGCTGAACCCCAGCAAGTTGTTCCACTACTGAAAACTCGAATACTTCTGTGGGTGACGAATTTTTCTGTGCATTTTTTCGGCACGCACAGAAAAATTACGATTATTCTGTCGGTTCCAAAATATCCCGACAGAAAAATACAAAAACCCACAAAATAATTCTATGATTTTTCTGTGCGTGACAATAGACACACGGAAAAATAAGGACTCACAGAAAAATGCAATTTATTATGTCGGTTCTTAAAAAACGCACAGAAAAAATATATGCACGCACACAAAAATGTTATTAATAAAATAAATACCTAACCCTAACCCGCCAGCCGCCGCCCCCAACACACCATGGCAGCCCCTCTTCCCTCTCCTCCCGGCCCCCAGCGCCCCCCCCCCAGCACCGCCTCCCCTCTCCTCCTCTCCGGTCGCTCCTCCTTTCCCGGCGGCCCCTCCTTCCCAGTGGCCCCTTCTTTCCCGGTGCCCCCCCTCCTTCCTCGGCCCCCCCCCCTCACCGGATTCGCCGCCCGTCGTTGGAGCCGACGCCCTCTCCCGGATTCGGTGCCCCATCCTTTCCTGGCGGCGCGGATCCGGCGCCCCCTCCTTTCCCCGGCGGCCCCTCCTTCCCCGGCGCCCCCCCTCGCCGGATCCGAGCGCCTCTCCCGGATCCGACGCCCTCTTTTCCCGATGGCGTTGGAGGCGCGCCATGGGCGGGCGGGAGGCCCTTGGTGCAGTGGTGGCCGGCGCCCTCCCCTTCTTCTCCCCATGGCGCCCCCCCCTTCTTCTTCCCCGTGGCGCCTCCCTCCTCCTTCTTCTTCCCGGCGGGTGCCCCCCCCCCTTCTTCACCCGAACGGATCCGGCCCTCCCTCTCCCAGATCTGGCCGGTGGCTGCGGTGGTGGTGGTGGTGGCCGGCGGCAGGGTGTGGTGATGGTGGTGGCCCTCCCCTCCCCCTTTTTCTCCCCCGCCGGCGCCCCTCCCCTCCCCCTTCTTCTTCCCCGGCGGGCGCCCCTTATTCAGTATTATTCAGTTCATTTTTTGTTAACCTGATTCTAGATATGTTGTGCTATGTTATTTTTTAACAGCATTTCACCATTGACTTTGATCCAAAATAAGAGTCATCATGTACATTATGGTGTCCAAGCAGCCTAACTGCATAACTAAAAGGATTATGGTAGTTTGATCATGGCATACCTATGGAGCCAGTGCATAAATTTCATATTTGTGTTTCTTGAACATGTGTCTGGACTGGATAACGGCATGAGTTTGTGCACTTTTTGTGGACCATTCCACCGATCCATCTTCAAATGCATATTTGTAGTTGTTATTTTTATTGTGTTACGACTTACAATACAACTATGTGATGCCATGGTCATTGAACCTCTTAATATCGTACAGTTGTTCACAAGTTTCCAGCAATTCACATCCGTCGGTGTTGTCAGTCCAGTGTATTTTACAAAGAATGTGTGCAAGATGGTTATGATATGTTATAGCTTACATCATGGAACCAAATCAGTACTGATTTTATTCATTTTAGCTGTTTTACTTGAGTTGTTATAGTACTATAAGCTAACAGCTCAAAATATCCTACAAATTTCAAATTGTTAGTCCCAATTACCTATAAGATAATCAGCTTGCACCTACCAGCTCAACAACTTTCACCTGCTTTGCACTGACTTGCGTGTGTTCTTACTGGAATTTTCCATGATTGTATTTCTTGCTGGTGTCTTTATCACTGATAAATTGCTTCTATATCCATCTGTTTGTGTGTTGTCTTAAACAATGGCATTTGACTGTTAAGCTCTGTTATGTTCATTTCTGCACCTGTATTTCTAGCTGGATAGTTGGAACAAAGTTCTCCCTTGGAATCACTGAAAGGTAGTTCACTGGATGAATGCTACTTTCAGTTTGTGTCCACACGTTTGCTAATTTCTCTAAACCAGTAAATATGCTCACTCTGTTCCTTTCGTGGTTTTAGCAAGCAGTGGTTGCCAATGTAATTGCACTAAGCAAAATGGTCAAGCAAAGTTACCTGCCAAGTTACTCCAAGAATCATTCCGTGCATCATTCTTCTGGATTGTCACATTACTCCATGAATCTTGCTGTGAATCAGGATCCTTTATAGCTACTACTTTGTCCCATGAACCATCCTGAGCGTTGTTATTGCGAGTTGCACTGTTAACCTAGGAATCCTGTAGTGCATCAGTATTATCCCATGGACTTTCATTTGATTTCCCTGTATTCCATGTGTCTGATTCTTTTGGGACTTTCAGATGCTCATTAGACTCCATCTTATCTTTCTCACCCCAACTGGATCCTGCATTAGACTTGGCATTTGGTCTTTCAATTCCATCTCCAGCATTCCAAGCATTGCCTGGTGGTGGCATCACATTGTTATAGGAGGAATCATAATCAGCATTTGTCTTCTTCCGTTTATAAGTGCTTGGCTGCTCCTCCCATTGGCAGTTACCATCTGCCTTCTTTTTACCCTTGGCATTTCCCCACGTGTCCTGATCTACATTCAAACTCTACCCATTCCAGTTGCTGGGATGCTCCCAATTTCCATGGCCATCATTAGACTTCTTCTCCCAGGCACCATCACCTCCATCTCCTTTCTTTTGTCCCATGTATTTTCTGATTTGCCTCACTATGCTCAATAAAAAGGCAAACTTCTTACAATACTAGTGTTTTTTTGTTGACTAAAAATATATCTTTGCTTAACAGGTAGAGATGGAGTGGAAGGTGAAGCAGTTTCTTTCTCCTTCCCCGCTGCCACCCCTGACCTTGAGAGCCTCACGCGAGGACACGACCATGACGCCTCCTTCCACGGAATCGATCCGAGCGGCGGCGCCCCTCAGCCCCCGACACCACGATGCCCCTGCGGCCTACGCCCTCACGCTACCAACGCCGCCCAGTGCCTAGTCCACTGTATTGGTTGGACAAGAAAAAATAGTTTGGTTTCTTTTTCGATGTCCATATTTGTGAATTCATTGTAGTATTCATGTTGAACATGTAGATGACCAGATATCATATCTGTATATATGATATATGTGCTGATAGATCAGACTGATTCTATTTTTGACATAAGTGTTGACTCCATTCATGATGAACTACTGATTTGCGTATTATTTGAATGAAACCTTGTTGGTCATGCATATAAATTACTGTATGGAAAATATATATTTTAATATGCTGTTGCTACTGTTTTAAAATAATTTTTTTTGTGTGTTTAACTCTTTTTTCCCCTGAGGCTGACTACACAGAAATATTATTTTTAATCTAGGTGAAATGAATTTTTCTGTGAGTTCACCTAGACCGACAGAAAAAACGTGTTTTTGTCTGTGCGTTTATTTCTTTTTTCTGTGTGGATTAACACATAGAAAAATTAGTTTTAATCTGGGCGAACACAAATTTTCTGTGCGTGTGAGACCCACAGAAAAATTGTTCCTGACGGTGAATCCACAGAAAAATTCGATTTTTCTGTCATTCTATTTCTGTGTGTTATTTTCTGACGGTACACCGTCAGAAAAATATTTTTCCGTGGGTTTTTGCACACACAGTGTCGACGAAATATGGTCGGCAGTCCACCGAGGGGGGTGCCCGTGATGGTAGATTATCGGTAGGATGCGCGTAATCAGGAACCAGATGGTTACAGAGACACAAGACACAAGATTTATACAGGTTCAGGCCGCCAGTGTCGCATAAAACCCTATGTCATGTGCTCTGTTATTTGTATTGATCTGGGGTGAGATCTGTTATGATCTATATGATCTGTTCTCTAGGGGACGCCTGCCCCTCCTTATATACTGCGAAGGGACAAGATTACAAGTAAAGTATCCAATTTGGTACAATTACAATATAGCGTCGTGCTCTGCACGTCTTCATCTTGCGGGCTGGGCCACTTCCGGTGGTGCGGCCCATGTATACCCATGAGAGTATAGGGGGTCTATTCCCCCACACACACAAAAATATTCGAGTTTTCAGTAGTGTTCCTCTCTCGCTAATGCCATTGTGAAGAGAACGGGAAGGAGAAATGGGAGCTAAGGTTTCTGGGTAGCTACCGCATGCAGAAGTGGGCTCTGATGTGAGGATGCATGATACGAGTCATCGGCCTATTATCATGTTGCTTTATAGAATTCTCCTTAGATTGAGCCAGAACTGGCATAGACCTCTTAAAATTGGCATGGGACCATTTTGAGTATCAACAAGGTGGTTGAAGCAGTGGTGGAGCTAATAATAAAATATGGGGGGCATTTTGCCTAAGATGTATTAACATGTACACAAGTCCCATATAAGTCATAATATAATTAATGGAAGCTTAAATTTGAAAAACATACGAACCAGGAAAAATCGGGATAACAATCACAACATGTTAATTTCTTCAGCTATATCATCCTACTGATGCTGGACGCCTTGTCGTCGTTGCTCTCCCCAGTCTGCGGCCTAGTACTTGTGGTGGTCATCAAGGTGCTGAACAGGGGAGCACCTTGATGGTTGCAGATCTTCTATTGGACTGCATACTAGACAAGTTATCAATCGACGATGGGTTGTACCAGTACTCGGCAGGTCTTTGTTATTGTACAACTAGTAGTCTTCGATAGGTCTTTGTTGTTATACAACTGTGGAACCTAACTTAAGTTATCATTGAAATTTTTCCCTATTTTTTTGTGATGCTTGTTACTGTATCATTGACATATAGTTTTTGCCTTAAATATGAGCAAATCTTTTGATTTCATTAACTCGTGACCCTATGAACAGAGCGAAGGAAGCGATTGGTCTACCGACGGTCAAAATGCAATGTGAGTGTTGAGTGTCCCAACTCCCAACTGCCAACTACCTACATAGTTCCACTTCTTGACCTTTAAGGTCGGCTTATTTAAGTGGGGTCTGGATGCACTTCTAGGGTTCATTCCACACTCTTCCTCCTTGAATCCTTTAGAATAGATACTGGCAAAGCTCGTGAGCCAATCACCTTTCTTTAACGCCTAGAGGTGCTTTATCTTCATACTCAAATCTCTCATGGTGAAAGACCATGAGAGGTGCAAGATGGACTATGAGAGATTCAAGTTGGAATATAAAGCACCTCACTGAGATGCTTGTTCAAGTTAACGAGGTCCTCGTTCTTTAAGATTGGGTGCTTTATATTCCGTCTTGCTACCTTTGGGGATTGACATGCAGATCTACATCCCTCGACCCTCAGAGGTAGCGAGATGGAAGACAAAGCACTTCATTGAGATGCCGGTACAAGTTTTGCGAGGTGCTCCTTCTCCATATCCTCCAATGGCAGCGATGGCGTTGGGAGAAGTCCTTTCAAGGCTAGGTGCTTTTTATTCCATCTTGGACCTCTCACGGTCGAGAAGCAAATCTACATCACTCGATCGTGAGAGGTGCAAGATGGAAGGTATAGCACCTCATTGAGATGCTAGTGGAAGTTTTGCGAGGTGCTACCACATCCTTGCCATCTAGGTCCGCGGCCTAGTCATTGCTGAGTTACTGGTTGGAGTGTTGCTTTGTATCTGCAAACCGCCGGATGATACGGCTTTGTTATCACGTACACCGAGAATTGCCTGGCCTGTTCCCCAACTCTGGGATCAGCACCTAGTGACACCTCGGCGGCGGTTCCTCCCACAAGAAAATGGAAGTAACAAAGAAAGAAAGAGAACAACAAAGAGTTCCATGCGTCGCTATAGTTATGGGCACACACATAAGATAACTAAAATGATAATAAAGCAATGGACAAGCATGATAATTAAGAAAATTATCACTGTCATAATAATAAGGGACAATTGTCTGGCAGACATCCAAAGTGATGGTCCTTTGCTGGCGGACACTCACTTTGGAGCATTTTGCCAGAAGACACTCTGGTTCGGAGAAATTAGGCCACAGGACACCGCAGACCGGTTGCCGCCGGTTGAGGAGACATTCTTGCCCCTGCCGCTTTCTTCTTCCTCGATGCCCCTGCCATGGCCGCGAGTTCAGAGCTCGGAGCTCGCCGGTGGCGACGCCTTGCGCCTCCTGGGACTGCCTTCGGCCCCGTTACCCCATGTCGCCGGTGGCCTCGGTCGGTAGCTACCGCGTCTGCCCGCAGGTCGTGCGTAGGTCCGCAGCCACCCCTGCCGGTCTGCAGGTCGCCCGCGTCCGCAGCGGCAGGTCGCGTCCGTCCGCGCGCAAGTCGCGTAGCCGCTCGCACGCCCGCAGGTCGTCCGAGCACGTCGAGCACCAACGCGCATGCCCCATCCGTGCCCTTGTGGTGCTCCTCCTCTGGCCCCTCGCCATGGCTGGGCTCGTAGCACCTCACCCCAAGGCTCCTCTCCATGGCCCTCGCACTGCTCCTCCTCCGTCCCCTTGCCATGGTCGTGGCTGCTGCTGCTCTGCTTGCCATGGTTGCTGCTCCTGCTTGCCTTGGTCGCAGTGCACCAGCACGCATGCCCCATCGCGCGCGCTGTCGTTCCACCTACATCCTCCCACTTCTATGGAGCTCCTCCTCCACCGCTCGAGCATCTTGACGCCGGGAGCATGTGGACCTCCGAGCAGCGCGTACCTCCGAGGACGACGCGAGTGCGTGGACCTTCGAGGACGACACGAGTGGGCGCGGAGGAGGTGGAGGAGGCCGGCCAATGGAAGAAGAGAAGAGGAGAAGAGGAGGAAGAAGAAGATGATAGGTGGGGCCCGCACGTCAGTGAGAGGGAGAGGGGCAGACCCAACTGTGGCTCAGGGGCACCGGATGTCCAAAACAAAATTTTCTCTCTCCTCAACCGGCTGCAACCGGTCCACGGTGTCCTGTGGCCTAATTTCACCGAACCAGAGTGTCTTCTGGCAAAATGCTCCAAAGTGGGTGTCCGCCAGCAAAGGACCATCACTTCGGATGTCCGTCAGACAATTGTCCCTAATAATTAACATAACATAAGATAATTACATATCTATGACTCACACTCCCTTCTTGTCGGCGCCCTCCTTGGTGTTCGCCATCTCCTTTGTCCCAAGTCCAGATTTGCATACACTTTTTGTTTTTTCATATCTATATCTATACCTAATATTAAAGCGAAAATTTCTGTCTTAATTTTTGGTCCAGCCCTACCCAATCACTGCCTCGGTCTCAGCGAGTTCAGCCACATCATTTTGTGCCCAATAGGCCACCTGGCGCTTCCGTGTCTATTTTTTTCATTGCCAGATTTCTTTTCTAGTTTTTTGGTTCAGTTAATATTTTCTATTCTTCTTGTTCTGTACCTTTTCTGTTCTGTTCGTTGCTTCCCTTCCGTTTCCTTTCCTCTTCTGTTTTTGTTGGTTGTCTTTTTTCCCCTCTTATATTTCCCTCAATTCTTTCCTTTCCTCTTTCTCTCAATGTCTCTATCATCCTCTTTCTTCTCTGTGCCTGGCAGCCTTGCCCTTCCTCATTGGCGGCTCTACGCCTGCCCTGGCAGCCGCACCCACACTCCCCCATTCCCACCCATGTAGGCCGTGTCGTCATACCTCCCTGCTCCTGTGTGGGGGCAAATCCGGCCTCCATACACGCTGAGGCCTTCTGGTGCAAGTTGGAGCCAGAAAAACATGTAATTTTCAATTCCATCCAGCACCCAACCCCTAAGAGAGCAAAATTTCATGGGCGCC